ATTATGTTATTACGAAGTGAAATCTTTTAATGAGCCCCGTTTACTTGACCTACGTCTCTTGTACCTACAATTGTAAGTTAATAACAAATAAGTCGAGAAATTCCATTAGTTTATGTAGCTATTGAAAGCACTAATGCTAGCTCTTTTGTCATAATTATACCAAATTGGTGTTATGAACTTTAACGTAAAATATAATTTTAATGATAATAATTATACAGGTACTGTCAATACTTTTGTTTCATATTTTTATATAATTCGTTAGTAACTTCTTCCCTGAAGTAATAGAAAACAAAACGTTAAAACGTAGAATGACTAAACAGTTGAATTTCCGGCGACGACGAGACGCGGCGCAGTTAGCGCGAGTCCATAAACAGATTACTATTGTGTTTACTAACTATTGTACGCGATTATGTGATTATCTCTTATCTATTAGACAAGTCCGTCCGGCCGTCTGTCTGTGGTGCTGTTTCAGCGGCCAAACCGTAAGAGATAGATAAAGAGAATGTTTAAGTTATAAGTTAAGAATAGTCCGATAAGACTACAAACTGGATTTGAGTAACGTAGCACTTCCGGTTTTCGAGAAATCAAACGAAACCACACAAAATCTCCGAAGTTCTCAATTAATTAAATACATTTTTTTTAATCAGGTTTTGGTGAACATTTGGTTCACTGGTTTGCTAGTATTTATCTATTTCATGGTATATTTTTATGATATAACATCCTGTAGTCCCTAATATATATTTACTTACCTATGTTGCTAAAGCCTCACCAAATACCGGAAATGTGCTTTCGCACTTGGCTATAGAGTGTTTCGCAAAGAAAGAACGTGCAAGGGGAATAACCGACTGACTTTGACTTTTTCGCTACTCTCTTCAAAGCTAAGGCAAATGTCAGTCCTACTATTAATATTATAAATACGAAAGTTTGTATGTTTGTGAATCATCACGCAAAAACTATTGAACATAATTTAGATGAAAGGAGATTGTTCAAATTGGCCTAAATGCACAAAAAATATTGACATACACGGTAATTCTTGGCGTAATTTATAATTTAATTTACAGTCATTAGATTTCAACGGACACCTTTGTATAATATATTGACTTTAAAAAGGACTTATAATATTACCGGTTTGGAAAACATACGAATCATTTTTAATGGCTATGGGTGTAGTAACATTCAGCCAAAGACTGATCGAAGTTGTTTATATAACATAAAAACAAATCTATTTTGTAAAGATCGATAAAATAAATCATTTTTTTTATTACACTGTGGTATGAATATCCACCACTATATTATCATTTTCACTAAATGCAAATGTGCTCAGACAATTAATAAAGATGGTAGGCGACATCATAAAGTCTATTGCCATACATTTTTCGCAAACGTACGGTTTATAGAAGTTCTCAGGGGTGTCCGTCAATAATATTCGTTTCTACAGTAATTTATATATAATTTCGAATCTAGGAAACTATTTTTCATGATTATTGGTCTTTAGGCCAAACATGTATGGAAGCTGAGCAATCTCCTTTGGAACGCACATAGTTTATGACCTGGATTGAAAAATGTTCGGTTCCTCAGAGATTCTCATAAAATTAAGGATAACGTGGAAGATGTCGCTGGGGGGGAGGGGCTGGAATTTTCTGCACGCTTTCTGAAAAATTAATAAATTAGATTTATAAACAAATGAAAACAGTATTGGTACTGATTTATTTAATAATTCTAAACAACCCCCCTCGTTTCCGTTCGCAGGAGTCTCGTAGGATCCTGGTAGAGTCTGCGAGCCTGCTGCGGCACGAGCCGGCGGAACATCGATATTTAAAAAAATATCAATATCGGCTTCGATATATCGCGAAAAAAACATCGATATATCGATATATCGAACCAATTGTCCCAAAAATATCGTACTTTAGATCACGAAATATGACGCGCGGAATAATAATGGAACGAAAATTATCTCCCTACAAATAGACCTTATTTTCGAATGATGACATAGACAATACTAAATACAGCACAGATCATAGATATGTTGAATATCATTAATCTGAGATCCAGTTACGATTTTTCCAGATACGAATTTAGTTAGATCGTGATATGCCGCTAATAATTAAAAAAATATCGTTTTTGATACGAATTTCGATATTGGTTATTTTGTATCGATGTATCGATATATCGAATCAAAATATATCGGCAAAAAATATCGATATATCGAAAAAAAAATATCGATATATCGATACATCGATATATTTTCAACAAGCCTAGCACAGATAGCGACAGCGACTCAGGCAATGAAGAAAATTGCGTTTTGTAAAATTGCTCTTCCATACCGGAAATGATATGCATGCAACGTAATTGCGAAGCGAAATTCTCTAGAAATATTTTCACCTATGTGATTACGTAATTTTTATTTTGAGTGTGTATGCTGTTGGTCGCAGATGACCTTTATAGCGTCACCGATTAACTCACCTACTCTGCTATATATCTAATATTATATAGATAATATTACCGTGACTGAACACAATGAAAATGAAGGAGAATCTCCCACATCTCCAACCAGCTTTGGTCAATCCTTCTCCTGCACGACAACGCGCGACCTCATACTTCGCTGCAGACGGTCTCCAAGTTACAAGGGCTGGGTTTGGAAGTTCTCCGTCATCCACCGTACTTACCAGAACTTGCCCCTACAGACTTCTACATTTTCCAGAATTCGGATAGCTTCTGAGCGGGAAAAATTAAATAACCGAACCAGCAGTTCTTAATGTCTTTAAAGAATTTGATACCTACCATCCAGCAGACTTTTTCAAAAGGGGCATTAATAAGCTACTACTACGTTGGCGAACATGCATAGATTGCATTAATAATTACTTCTATCTACATATATAAAACTCAAAGGTGACTGACTGACTGAAATAGTGATCTATCAACGCACAGCCCAAACCACTGGATGGATGAATTCTACCCCAAGGGGATGAAATAGGGAATGAAAGTTTGTATGAAACTTTGTCAATTTTAAACCGATCGGGCTGAGACTTTGCATGCAGGTAGGTATAAGAAGAATCATAGATGAATGTCATTGTGTATAATACAAGCCTGAGAACAAAAACTGTAGTCTTCACTTCAGCTCTACACCAAAGCGAAGCGAGGGCTGGCCACTAGTTGATCAATAAAACTAAAAATTTTTAAATAAATTGACTACTGTTACCACATGAAATACTTACGCACGTATCTTATTTTGTGTAAAAACGAGACAACACATTATGTTATTACGAAGTGAAATCTTTTAATGAGCCCCGTTTACTTGACCTACGTCTCTTGTACCTACAATTGTAAGTTAATAACAAATAAGTCGAGAAATTCCATTTGTTTATGTAGCTATTGAAAGCACTAATGCTAGCTCTTTTGTCATAATTATACCAAATTGGTGTTATGAACTTTAACGTAAAATATAATTTTAATGATAATAATTATACAGGTACTGTCAATACTTTTGTTTCATATTTTTATATAATTCGTTAGTAACTTCTTCCCTGAAGTAATAGAAAACAAAACGTTAAAACGTAGAATGACTAAACAGTTGAATTTCCGGCGACGACGAGACGCGGCGCAGTTAGCGCGAGTCCATAAACAGATTACTATTGTGTTTACTAACTATTGTACGCGATTATGTGATTATCTCTTATCTATTAGACAAGTCCGTCCGTCCGTCTGTCTGTGGTGCTGTTTCAGCGGCCAAACCGTAAGAGATAGATAAAGAGAATGTTTAAGTTATAAGTTAAGAATAGTCCGATAAGACTACAAACTGGATTTGAGTAACGTAGCACTTCCGGTTTTCGAGAAATCAAACGAAACCACACAAAATCTCCGAAGTTCTCAATTAATTAAATACATTTTTTTTAATCAGGTTTTGGTGAACATTTGGTTCACTGGTTTGCTAGTATTTATCTATTTCATGGTATATTTTTATGATATAACATCCTGTAGTCCCTAATATATATTTACTTACCTATGTTGCTAAAGCCTCACCAAATACCGGAAATGTGCTTTCGCACTTGGCTATAGAGTGTTTCGCAAAGAAAGAACGTGCAAGGGGAATAACCGACTGACTTTGACTTTTTCGCTACTCTCTTCAAAGCTAAGGCAAATGTCAGTCCTACTATTAATATTATAAATACGAAAGTTTGTATGTTTGTGAATCATCACGCAAAAACTATTGAACATAATTTAGATGAAAGGAGATTGTTCAAATTGGCCTAAATGCACAAAAAATATTGACATACACGGTAATTCTTGGCGTAATTTATAATTTAATTTACAGTCATTAGATTTCAACGGACACCTTTGTATAATATATTGACTTTAAAAAGGACTTATAATATTACCGGTTTGGAAAACATACGAATCATTTTTAATGGCTATGGGTGTAGTAACATTCAGCCAAAGACTGATCGAAGTTGTTTATATAACATAAAAACAAATCTATTTTGTAAAGATCGATAAAATAAATCATTTTTTTTATTACACTGTGGTATGAATATCCACCACTATATTATCATTTTCACTAGATGCAAATGTGCTCAGACAATTAATAAAGATGGTAGGCGACATCATAAAGTCTATTGCCATACATTTTTCGCAAACGTACGGTTTATAGAAGTTCTCAGGGGTGTCTGTCAATAATATTCGTTTCTACAGTAATTTATATATAATTTCGAATCTAGGAAACTATTTTTCATGATTATTGGTCTTTAGGCCAAACATGTATGGAAGCTGAGCAATCTCCTTTGGAACGCACATAGTTTATGACCTGGATTGAAAAATGTTCGGTTCCTCAGAGATTCTCATAAAATTAAGGATAACGTGGAAGATGTCGCTGGGGGGGAGGGGATGGAATTTTCTGCACGCTTTCTGAAAAATTAATAAATTAGATTTATAAACAAATGAAAACAGTATTGGTACTGATTTATTTAATAATTCTAAACAACCCCCCTCGTTTCCGTTCGCAGGAGTCTCGTAGGATCCTGGTAGAGTCTGCGAGCCTGCTGCGGCACGAGCCGGCGGAACTGCCAGAGGGCCGGCTGGCACGCCAGGCCAAGGCCAACCTTAAGCCGATGGACGAACTCATCAAGAACCTGTCTGCTTCTCTGCCGGCACCGCTGTAAAACGTACATAGAACATTAGCTTCTATCAAGCAAGCTATTTTTAATGTTAGAAAAATGCGTGACATATACCTCTCCTCCGGGTGAGAATCGAGTTAATGTGGGACTCCTCCTTCATCCAAATCTCGCTCACCCACTCAGCTAGCCCATGAGACCGGCTCAGTGGACACTCGGGACAATGCGGGGGCCCTACCCACAAAAAACCGGCTGAATTTATAAGCACTATATTCAAAATCATTAACAAAAATGGTCTGCTAAAAGTTCAGAGTAAAGTATGTGGTTGACATACAATATAGTTCGCTGGTTGCATAGTATCATTATTTTATCATAAAAATTGTTTAAAAGAAGTTTCACTTCAGTCGTGTTGTCTTAAGCACACTCTTTTTTTATTTATTTAGAACTACGCATCCTATTCGGTCTCTATAATATTTCAGCCGTAGGCGACCACATGCGGTTAGAATATAACGCCAGTCTCTCTGCCAAAACCCCTATTAATGTAAAATTTTATTATTAGCTGTCTTTATCATCTTTGAAATGTGTTTCTAATAAATACATTTTATCATTTGAAACCACAATATTTTGTTTCGTTAGAAAAGTTTGTATTCCTTGTAAATAGTGATAAGTTTTTGAAAAGTATTTTTTAAGTATTCGAAAGACATTAATTAGTTTATTATGGTCCATACTCATATTTTGTATTGCTCGATAGATTTACTCTAAAACGAGTACCTAAAAATCCTACGACCGAATCTTCGAGTTCGAGCGGTCCACACGTTGATTCTTACTCGCTTTAGAGAAAACTATTTATAGTACTACCGCATATGAGTACGTTAGTACCGTATTTGAGTACGGACCATTATGCAAAATGGCCAATGACGTGTGAATTGCTACCGTAAACATAGACTTTGTATCGCAATAATTAATTAATGTTACATGAAGCGTACTTAAGCCTGAGTCAATATTTTGTAGTAATTAAATACATCTTAGTTGTTGACCACCAGTGTTTTATTGCAGTGAAAACTTCTTTAGCGGCATTGTACACTTTTTTGTATGGGTAAAAAATGTTAAACCCGCGTCAGGTTATCGCATCATGACACACAATAAAATTGGAAAGGTGGTTGACTTTCAATATATTGGACGAAACATAGTAATATTTTATTTTACCGTATTATAATAATAAGTCTATCTGGTACGTCCACGTGGCAGCTTTATTGCGAAGAAAATGCATTTTTTTACAATAGATGTCGCTAGGTGCGCTTAAATATGATTCATGTAAGTTGATTTTACTGAGAGTTAAACTTTTTTAATGTAATATAAATTGTCATGTTTGTGTACGATAGTGCAATAAATAAATATTGTATTCTACCACATACATGACAGTACTTTTATACTGATAATTAAAGCAATTCGTGCAAAATATTTCCTAACCATTCCAAAATATCAAAAATGCACAACGTTAATATTCAAGTTTTCACTTCTGCCGGCACTCCCGGAGTGCAAACCGTCGTTTTATTTTCAAGTACACTCATGTTATAGATGGGGTACATACTTGCTTGTTTCTCGATTTAGTATATTTCAAATTATTTTTAGGAGCATGTACGATATCACGAGAAGGAATGGACCACTTAAAACTATGGGACTACTAAAATGATAACGAGACCCTTAAAATTAGGTAGCATAGTATAAAAGGTAGAGGTTTAGATAAACCGAAGGTATGTTCTTAGGTATAATTCATATTTATATTTTTAAGCATTTCACTGCTAGATAAATAATTACTTTATTAACCAATTAGCCTAGCCCCAAAGTAAGCACTATGAGGCTTGTGTTATGGCATGCTAGAGTATCGGATAGAATACATATACTGTACATATCTAAGTATATTTATATAAATACATATTAAAACATCCATGACTGGAGTACAAATGCTCGTATTCATCAGACAAACATCTGCCCCCACCGGGATTCGAACCCGGGACCTCTCAAGTCAGCGACACCATGAAACCCGGCGAGACATTTAAATGTAAACTAATTTTTTTTATAGAATAAATGCTACGAATTAAGTGTTCGTCTACAATTAAAACAATAGTCTATTATCTAACTTTATATGAAAACAAATTTTAAAAAAAATGTAAAATAAAATAGCAATAAAAAAACAAACTGGTATCAAGAAAATTCATAGCAACTCACTCGTTGACGTTAGGATTTCTGCATAACATAGCTCTTTTTTCATAAGACCCGACTCCATTCGTTCTTTTATTCTTTTTATCCCAGAAAAAAAATAAGTTCCTTTGTGACTCTCTAAAAAAACAAAGTTAACGCGATGAAGTCACTTGCGGCTGCTAGTTAAAATTAGGCAGCGAAGCAGAATATAGAATCACTTTTGCCATCTCATGGCATCAGTCGTGATCATAGAGGTATAAGAATAGAGTCAGGGGCGGTTTACGAAAACGGGCGCCCTAGGCCTGACAAAATTAGCGCCCCCTCTCCCCTCTCCATAAAATAGTTGAAAAAGCACAGGCTAGAATAAATGATTTTTATACACTCCCGCTCAAAAGTATGGGTTCACGTCTCGAAATTTTCAGCTTCGGTATAAGTTCCATATCTTGGTGGAAAAAGGTCGTAAGAGAATTTAATGAGCACCGTTTTGAAAGGGACAGTTTTAGCTTCACTTTGCCATTTTTTATAATTTTTTACAATTATTTTTATAGTCCCCACGCGCTTTTGAACATGGCAGTTTTTCGATGTTTTTTTGCCTTCTGGAAACGGGCTGTCTGGCTGTTAAAAAATTTTCCTTGCAATTTTATCCATCGCAGTTTGAAAGAGGATATTAAACACTGCATTTTCGTTTTTGAAAAAGTATCGTGCGATTTTTTTTACCAAAAATATTCTAATTTTTGACAAAAATTGATAATTTTATTCAATTCGGCGTATCTTGAAAACGGCGGGTGATCGAAGAAAATAGCAAGAGGGTGAAAAGTTGCAAAAGATCATGATGGACATGGTAGATTTATTTCAGAATTTTTTTCCGACATTTGTTTTTCCATACTCGTGGAGTCGAAATGATTTTAATTTTCCCATGATTCTTTCTTTTTTCTAAACGGCTGAGGCATTGCTTTTATTGGTTTCATCTTCATCTTGACGTAATTTGAACTAAAAATTAAATTTTTTAAATGAAAAAAACGTACAAAAAATTGTGCGAAATTTGATTTTTAGTAAAAATTACGTCAAGATGGTTATAAAACCAATAAAAGAAATGCCTGCGCCGTCTAAAAAAAAGAAAAAAATCATGAGAAAATTTAAATCATTTCGACTGCAAGAGTATGAAAAAACAAATGTCGGAAAAAAATTCTGAAATAAATCTACAAGGTCCATCATGATCTATTGCAACTTTTCACCCCCTTGCTATTTTCTTCGATTACCCGCCGTTTTCAAGATACGCCGAATTGAATAAAATTATCAATTTTTGTCGAAAATTAGAATATTTTTGGTAAAAAAAATCGCACGATACTTTTTCAAAAACGAAAATGCAGTGTTTAATATCCTCTTTGAAACTGCGATGAATGAAATTGCAAGGAAAATTTTTTAACAGCCAGTCAGCCCGTTTCCAGAAGGCAAAAAAACATCGAAAAACTGCCATGTTCAAAAGCGCGTGGGGACTATAAAAAAAATTGTAAAAAATTATAAAAAATGGCAAAGTGAAGCTAAAACTGTCCCCTTCAAAACGGTGCTCATTAAATTCTCTTACGACCTTTTTCCACCAAGATATGGAACTTATACCGAAGCTGAAAATTTCGAGAAGTGAACCCATACTTTTGAGCGGGAGTGTATTTCAAAAATAATTTAACGGAAACAGAATTTCAATCATACATATATTATGTAGGTTTGTGGGTAGGAATGGAGCACATATATATTTTATATTGGCGATATTGACGTTTGAGTGGACCCGATTAAAACGTTCGCTTTCTCGCTTTTAATCTTTCAAATTTATCGGCCCGTGGCGCCCCCTTCTGCCACGGCGCCCTAGGCTCGGGCCTAGCGGGCCTAGTGCATAAACCGCCCCTGAATAGAGTAGAGATATAGACACTACTACAAGTGGAAGTGTCCCTCTAATAGAAAGAGAAAGAAGATGAGAGACCGCTAGCTTTCTCTCACTAATCGCGCATGCGCATTAGCAACCGTAAGCATCTTACTATTTCGATGAGATGCCGTTGGATGCCATGCGTCACAAGACAGAGAGAGATAGCTAGCAGTTTCTCATCTTCTTTCTCTTTTTACTAGACGGACACTTTTAGAGCCGCCTTCCCTACTCTATTCTTATACCTATATGGTCGTGATACGATTGCATATTGCAAGCTTGATAAATTGATAACGATCGTGTTTTCTCTGCGTAAAATTTGGTATTTTACTACGATAATCACCAATGTGGGTGAGATGTGTTGTTTAACTGCAAAATGCAACAACACAACCGAGCCTCAACTAGGTTTCTATGGAAAAATACGCGGGCACCGCACTGTCAAACAAGTTGTAGTACTGTCAAGGTTGTCAGTATATCCAATCGAAAGGGTAATGCCCACTTTGTATGGGAATTTGGCTTGACATGGACAGACATTTTAACAAGTAAAACTATAAAATGCAAGAAGCTTAAACTACCCAGAACCTTTTTATCATTATAATTTTGTATCAGTATCCTTTAAATTTTTAGCACCGCAATGAAAAAGGGTAATATAAGCACAAAGAAGTAATTTTCGCAACGATCTATAATATTCGAATTCATAAGTATTACTCATACGATGTCTAGAGACTGGGTAGATACATTTTCTATTACACAAATAAATAAAATTGAAAATAAACATCTATTCTTTAAATATACCGCAAAAAAATATATTGCGCAATATGGCGTGTGACGTCACATGCGTAATACAAAATATCTAAAAGAAAAAACGCAGTGTTCTTACGCAGCTTGGGTGCGTTCTAAAAGTAGGCTCCAAGTGTAACTTTTCTTATCTTTGATCCGGCTAATCCTAGCCGTTTTAGCTGAAATGACGTGCGCTTACTTAAATTCGGCCAATAATCGCCGTTTTCGCTGACATGACGTGTGCTTACTTAAATTGCACCAAGTACAGCCGTTTTCGAGCATGTGGCATTAGAAAACTAATGGAAGGAAGTGACCGTATTATTTTCATTTAATTTTATTGTATTATTAATGAAATTCTTCATTATATTACGGTTATACCACCTTGTCCACGCTGAGCCTATTTTGGGCATTGCCCTTTGGAATTTTGCTATATAAATATTTATAAATTTAACTTTATTAAAAAATCAAATAAAACTTGTAACGCCAAAACATATTCTAATCTCTTTTCATACCGTGTTATTCTCTTTTCGAATTAACCGCATCCTAATCGATCCTTCTCCTTCAAACACTGTGTCTTATGCTTATGAGGGAAGAAGACACAATATATTCGCCGGCAACGAAGGATGGGCGGAAGGAAATGGCAGTCTGTCATCAGTCTGTCACCGCATCCAGAACCAGAGGAGTCTGTCACCGCGAAATAACGAAATGGTCGAATTTGTCAGCAGCCTACATTACTTATTCTAATAACATTTCGTACATGTTGATTACAAACGATAAATGATGTACATGCACACTGTTTAAAGTCCTTCTTAATGTGGTAAAGTTACAATTACTAAAATTACCAAATTTTCCCATCCTCATAACTAAAAGTCGACAGTCGATCAGCAGTTGTTTTCAAAATTTGTCTTTTTGTATAATGTTCAGAATCTTATTTACAGACTTGAGTATTATAGGATGTAATGTTATTTTTAATCTACTGATTAGAACTCAACTTATTTGGCAGCCCTAGTGCAAGCACGTGCCTGGCTGCGCTTGCGCCGGTAAAGCGTTTCTCCGAAAGCTCTACAACTGCACTACAAGGGACCCAATGAACTCTTTCTCCCTCAGCGCAGTACTTACGTGTCTCTATAAAATTCTTACTCTAGATAATGTGAGGATTAACCTAATAAGTAAATGGTTTTTATATTGTGTAATTAGATCCGGTTTAAAACAAGCAGGCCTCAAAAAGTTTCTGTACCTTTTAATTTATAATTTGGATGAAAAAGCAGTAGGCACTTAAACTTCAAAGTGTGTGCGTTTAGGACCAGTAAAATAGTAACTGAATATTAAACGTAGGCATGCGATATGTATTGTATTGTCTAATGGCCAAAACTATGCCATAATTCTTTCGATCATGACAAATTGAGATAAATCGTAGTTGCTTATTTAAGAAAACCTAAGAAACAAATAAGAAACTCTTATTAAATCAAATTTAAGAAATTGACCGCTTATGTACCAATTATATCACTTTTTGTTACTTAAGCCTACACTGGTATGCCAGCAAGATTGGCGCCAGCTACTGTATCTGATCGAAATTTGATTGAACAACAATTATCGACGTAGGTACATTATGAATACGCTACGAAAATATGTCTATAACCTCCGAAAATACACAATTGCGATACCAAATTAGTACTTACTCGCGAATTCTCACAAACAAGGTTATCACTTGCAAATCGCTCAGCAACCAATGGCATTTGTGCGCAGGAAATCTCAGTTCAAACATGGCTCTATCGTCTTTAGAACCAAGAGCGACCCAGACGCCATGGATCTGCTTATACAGCGCTGTGTGTCTTGGTCGATTCTCGACTTCGGTGAAAGATAAACAAATTTGTTGTTTTGTGGGTGTTTCTGGAATGACATGTCGAACGACTGTCGCCGAATTTGTTGTGACGGAAGCATTTCATCATCGCAGTTCAGCATCCAAACAACCTGTTCAAAGTAAGTAAACTAGGTATAAGCTAAAATTTTACGAAAAATTGCAATTATATTCATGGATATTTTATATATGTCTATCAATAATGTATTATAACCTACTCTAGTATATAACACAAGCCCGGTTACTTTGGGGCTGGGTGTGAGTGTTAGAAATATTAATTTATTGATTTACTTGTCCCTTCCTATATTTCTGCGTACACAAATTTAATTATTATATTAATTAATTAGCTTTATTTGTTTCTTAGGTTTCACGTACATCACTCATTAAATAAAACTTTCGCAGCCTTTTCAGGTCTGCATCGTCAGAATAATGACGATAATTCTTACAATGCCGACCTAGGGCCCAATTCTCGCGGCATAGATATTATATCACCTTCGATATATATCGAATGATCTGGCTTTTATCGAAGGAAAACCTTTTTGCCCTATTCTCACCATGTCGCAATAGATATTTATCTACGGATGATCAGTAGACATACATCGACTGGTAAAGAGCCTTCGATATATAAATATCTATGGATCTTGACATGTCAATCTTGTTATTTCCACTTTTTTTACCTATTATTTATTGTGTTGTCATCAAGAAGCTTATATACAACACTGGAGATTGCATGTAGAACTTCTGTGTGAAGATGAGTTCATTAACCCCATGATATGTTTTTTATCTCTCTCACACACTATCTGAAATTACCATGTTAAATACAAGAAATTCCAATCAGAAAGTGAAAATAAACAGAACTATGCAAGATATCAATCAGTTTTACAATCTCCAGAAGTCCTACTCTTGTATTACTATTATAAGATGAGTGTGACAAATTCTAACCAACTACCAGAATCGACACCAGTTTATATTAACGATGGATGAGTTGATTCATGTTTTCATCAATGATTTAGTGATTGCTGCTGCTGTGCTAAGGCGCCGCCGTTGTGAGAGCAAGAGGGCCCATTTGAAATGAGGGGCGCCGACTTCATAAAAAAATTACGTTTAAACAAAAATTTGGTTATAAATCTATAAAGTTATGAATGACATTGGTATCGATTCTGACATGATTCTCTAAACTTAAAACTAAATTTAACATCAGTCTCTCCTTTTCATTCTGTATGGAGAATGACAAGGATACACTGTTGCCAAATTTACGTTTAGGTTTAGAGAATCATGCCAGAATCGACACCATTTTCTTATTGACGATACGGAGTTTTTGGCGGGATTTCTGCGAGTGCGGTTGGCGTCTTATTTTAATTATTCTAAAATTCGTTCATAGTGGCTATTGTGAAATAAAATTGGTGTGATTTGGTGTTACAACCGTCTGCGCAACTGAAGAATTAGTGGAATCTTTAATATATACGCTATTCCGGTCAAGTGGACGCGAGAATTTTATTGTAGTGTTGACTACCTCACAGAAGCTTAGAGAAAAAGCCAACTCCATAAATTTCGTGCCAAACACTCCAAGAAACATTAGAATGCGTCACACCGACATTCTAATGTAAAAAAAGAAGATTAATATAACTAAAGACTAGGCTGTATGGGCATTGTTCCCTTTGCCTTCCCTAAAAAGGGAGAATCTTAAATAATATTGACGTTTCATTATACATAACGTTGAAATTATACACGCATACAATTTAGGTAAAGTTGAGATTTCTTATACTCAAAAAATGTATACTCATATTTAATATGAATGGAATTCATAAAATATCATTTTGTTGCTTGTAAAATTCTGCTCTAATTTATTATTATTTTATATAGACTATGATGTTAACTTAATCGAGAAAAACGGAACGCATTCGGCAGTGACAGAATATCTACGATAGATATAATATCATTGGAATATCGAAAATCCACGAGAATAGCATTTTTTACCATCAGTAGATATTTTCAATAGATATCCCTCCTTTCGATATTATCTCGAAGCCGATATAATATCTACGCCGCGAGAATTGGGCCCCTGAACGTCAATAAATAAATAAAGTTTTGTGCATTAACCCGTTAAAACTAGTTTTATTTAATTAGCTTTATATTAAAAGCTTTCAAAATGGGTCTTTATCATGGCGCATTGCATCAGTTTTGACTAAGAAAGAGAAAATTTATTGCAAAATTATTATGATATTAGGAATGTTAGCACGAGGATGTTTGTTTTGCTTGTTAATTTGCAAACGCTTCAACCAGTTTAATTTTGTAACCACTGACGAAAAAAGAGGGGTGTTATAGTTTGACGTGTCTGTGTGTCTGTATATCTGCGAGTCTTTCTGTGGCATCGTAGTTGCTAAAGTAATGGACCGATTTGGACACGTTTTTATTTGAAAACTGACTGACCTGATCGAGATTGGTCTTAGCTATAAACTTATGAAGATCTGTTCATAGGTTTGAAGATCATAATCTCTTTTACCATTTCAGAAAAGCATCTTACTATTTAAATTACGATTGATACTATTGATTTAAAATTTGGTGCTCTTTTAATTACGTTATGTTCCCAAGACCTGGTAACTTTTAGGTGTTCGCGCAGCATTAACGAATCAACTCCTCAGCTACGTGCTGCAGGTGTAATGGTCTCAATAAATGGATCGAAGCGTTTATAGTGTGTTTACTATTAACTTAAAAGTATTGAACTAAACATTAAAATGGAAATATTAAAGAAAACCCCCGACACCCAAAAATAATCTTAAAAGAGGAAAAATTAAAATACACGCATCATAAAAGTTTAAGCAACATGAAATTTGGAACGGTTTTTACTATTACAATATATTTATTACCTATGAAATTGCCGTTTTTCATGAAATGGGTTAACGCCCTTATTTTCTATATTTTTCTTATTTTTATTTATCAAAGTAATAACACACGCAATCAATGCATTTTTGCCGATGTAGTGGTACCTTATTATGATGCCCTTTCTGAAAAAGTCTGCTGGACGGGAGGCAACTAATTCTTCAAAGGTATTGTGAACTGCCTCTTGGTTATTGATTTTTTTGAATTTTTATATTCATATATTTATTCACAAGAAACAAATGTTGTATGATAAATAGACGTTACAAAAAATATGATGCTTAAACATGATAAATTATTATGCAAATGTCAATTTCTATGACAAGAAACCCTTCAGAACTTGAACTGTATCAGGCTTTGGACCACATTTCCAAATTGGGTACGAGGAACTTGGTTGAGTTCAGTGTTAAGAAAACCCAGGCTTGCGCTTTCACGGCAAAAACATCGCAATTCCTTCCCCTTCCCTCTCTTCAGGGCACAACACTGGCGCTACAGAGCAACTTAACCATGCTTGGTATGGAAGTTCGCTCAGAACTAAATCCAAAGGACTCTAACTCGGAGTCCTGAACAAAGTGCGGTGTTTTTTCACGGCCGATCAACTGTGCTTGTTGTAATTGTTACCAAAACGCAAGTGTGGTCTGGCGTGGAATATTGCTCGCACCTCTAGGAAGGCTCCGCTAAGTATTTACTTGACGCCTTGGGTAGGTTGCAGTGACGCGCTGCCCGCATCATTGGCGATGGTAACTACCAACCTCGAGTCTCTACAATTACGCCGCGATGTGGCAACATTAAGCGCATTCTACCGACTATACCACGGCGAGTGTTCTAAGGAGTTATTCTCGCTTATCCCTATATCACCTTTTCTTCAGAGGACCACGCGCGGGGGCCTACGTTGCAACCGACTTACTGTGGCCAATATTACTACCCGAACGAAGAAATTTGTTGACTCATTTCTTTGTCGTACTATTCGTTAGTGGAATTCTTTTTCCGCGCACAGGGAACACGTGCGCCTTCCTACAATCTGGGGTCTTTTAAAAGAGGCGTGTAGAATCATTTTTGCAGGCCGGCAAGGTGAGGATGGTTGGTGTGGCAGTTTATAACTGCTGTACCAGCTATCACTCACGTCTGGACTTTATCACCACTGGACATCAGGTGGGGTAGAGTCATTTGCCTACCTGGCTATACAGGGTTAATTTTAAAACACCAACATCCTCTTAGGGGGTGGATTCTACCCATCAACAGGAACAACTTTTATTATGGGACCAATTCGATTCGATTCGTGGGGCACCCACTTGTCAAGCTTTTTTTACCTTGACTATTTAACGCAAATAAACCACTATTGTTTCGATCGATATCTGCTGCTAATTCAGCTGTAGATTGAGAATTAGCTTCCACAATCACCATTAATTTGCCATTGTCGACTAAAGTTTTAAGTCGACAGCGAGGTTCATTTCCTTGGTCGCAATTTCCAGAACGGAAGCGAGTAAACCAATAACGGGTGGGGGGATCGTTACTTCGCTCCGCATACGTCGTCGATGTTGCGTGCCGCTTCTGCCACTTTGATGCCACGACGGTAGCCATACCTTCTCCATAACCACTCGAATATTTAACATATCCATGATGACAAAAACGTACAAATGCGCTGAAAACAGAACGCCAACCTGCAACTACCTACTACCACAAAAATAATTCCATATTTTGAAAATAAAAATATTTTAAACTTAGAATTCTTTGGTAAAGGCAATGTCATAAGTAAATATAAGTTTCTATTTTTTAAATCAATTTGGCAATATGATTAATATTTTTTTTTCTAGTAATATATTCTTTAGATCTTTTAATTTTGCAGTAAAATGCTTAAAATTAAAATAATGATTCATCATCAGCCCATTAATGTCCCCACTGCTGGGGCACAGGCCTTCCCTATGGATGGAATAGGGAAATTGGGCCATGACCCACCACGCGGGCCCAGTGCGGGTTGGTGGGTGTTAACGACTGCAGATGCAGCCGGGACCAACGGCTTAACGTGCCTTCCGAAGCACGGAGGAGCTCGAGATAGTAAATTTTCGGTCACCCATCCAATGACCGACCACTGCGAAAGTTGCTTAAATTCAACGATCGTAGCGGAACGCGCTAACTACTTGCGCCATCGAGCTCCTCGAAAATAATGATTATTATTTTGCAAATCGTATACCAAAAAACCGCAAGTACTATTCTAACAAACTAGATATATGGAGATACAACAGCTTATGTTGCTTACGTAGGCGCTGGGTGGTTGCGCGCCCGCAGATAAGATAGATCCGCAATAAAGATATAAGTGTACTTATCTTGTTATCATCTCCCGTTATGTTAAAATTATCTAAAAACAACACCGCTTACAATGGGACGATAATATTTGTAGTTAGTACACACCTATCTTTGGGGAGAAATAGAGATAAACTTTTACTTCTTCAAACAATATAATTCAATAAATTCAATTACTAAAAGGCTTTTTTTTACACGCAGGAAAAAAATACTATTTACAGACGACGGCGCTTTTAAGAGGCACACCGCCGAACGGACCTCACACCTGGCTCCCGCAAGCCTTACGAGCCCCAGCAGTGGCTGCCCACTGAGGACCCCGTAACCCTTACAGGCGCTTTACGGCATAATATCCGCTAAAAATCCCTGCGAATAATAATAATAATAATAAAATGGATGCGTGTAACTTATGTACGCGCGTGAGAAGTTATACTTCTTTAGCATCATTAAAAATATTTTTTAATTGCATGCAAATAATTAATAATTACAATAAAATAATAAAAGGACTGGAAAAGGATAGTTAACACAGTCAATTAAGTTCAGTTTTAATTTGAAAAATTAAATAAATATTCAAAATATTCAATTAAAATCACTACTGAATTTAAGTTATTAGTCCATATGTAATTAGCACTTGTAAGTAACTAAAACACGTTGTGTCTTTATAGAAACTAGAAACATGTGGATAAATATTATAAATATGAAAACAGTGATCAGAGGCGACGAGCGTGTCAACATTGTTTTTGACAACGCGATCATCTTATGGAGCTCCGTGGATCGTTCAAAGTACCTTTCGAACAGATGTCTAATAATCCACCATTATTAGACTAACATTCATAACGCGCCCACGGCCAACTTCATGGTGTTACTATTGTGTTACAGTGATGCGCGCGCATCTTAAAATTTCACTCTCATCATTTTTTCAACGCGCCCGCAGCTAACTTCATTATGTTACTTTTGTGTTACAGTGATGCGCGCGCATCTTAAAATTTCACTCTCATAATTTTTTCATAACGCGGCTAAAGAAGTATAACTTCAATAACTTTATTTGGAACAAGTGCAATGTACATTAAATTATGAATCGTTAAAACTGCTTTAGTTTTATAAAAACTGTGTTGCAGAATTAACGCCCATTCCCGTATAATATGAAACAGTGTTCCTATCAATGTATAAAATTAATTAAAACAATCTGTATAGAGAGAAAATTAAAATGAGACAATAATATCTACAATTTAAAATCCATCGAAAGTAATTTCAAAACAAAAAATATGTCCGAGTGCATTTTTATCAATATTATAACATACCAATACAAATTTTTACCAAAAAATGAAAGTAAGGACTAAAATATAACATTTGAATTTTTATGCTCACATTAGAAGGTAGGTTAACACAGATAATACAAATCTATTAAAATTACAATATTAAATCTACCTGGACACTACAAACCAATAAATCATGATATAGAATAGTTAAATTCAATATAAGACACAAATTCGCACACGTCGTACCAACATCACTGCAAAAAAGTTAATTTAAAGCATACGAACATTATTTTGTATACCCTCTAAGCTGCTTAGCGCGAAGCCGCGGGATCTCCATTTAGGGATTCTTCCGCGTCTCCGTACCTAGCAGCCTCCCGGCCTTGCTGGGGCTCCGCGGCAGGGGTCTCCCGGGGTATCGCGGGGACCCCGCAGGCGTGCGCAGGATGGCCCGCGCGTGGGGGCTGAGTACGCGGCCTAGTGCCCACCGTACCGCCCCCTGTCCGGTGCGGAGGGCTACTTGGGCGTGCCCTTGTAGCTCCCTCTGCCACCCCCCTCTTTGCAGGACAGAACTACAAGGGAGGGCTGCCGTCACGGGGTCCGTCGGTGGCCGGCACAGCTGTCGCCATGCCGGTCAGCGAGGGACCCCCCGGGTAGCGTCATGGGACGGACGCAGCCAGGGCGCGCCGACGTCCTCTCCTACCTAATTACTAAAAGGCCTGTTAAATCGACCTTATTATCTTTAAATGTTTCTTCTACTGGAGTAACTAAATATTTATTATCTCGAGCTTCTTCTCGCTTTGTTGATAATCCTCGCTGTAAAAGTTAGTCTATGCGATCAGCCGTCATGTCAACAGTTAATCCTTACTTTATCCAATTTTAGCTTTTTTTTAAAAATATTTCCAATACTCGCACCAATTAGCCTAGCCCCAACCCAAAGTAAGCACTATAAGGCTTGTGTTATGGCATACTAGGGTAACAGATAGAATACATATACTGTACATATATTTATGGTAACGACTTGATTTAACTTCACACATTTTTGCGAAAATTGAGGCCCATCTGTAGCCTTGAACCTGGCATATATAAGTATATTTATATAGAAATACATATTAAACATCCATGACTGGAGTACAAATGCTTGTATTCATCACACAAACATCTGCCCCCACCGGGATTCGAACCCGGGACCTTTCGAGTCGGCGACACCATGAAACACGGCGTACAAACCACTCGGCCACGGAGATCGTCTAAACAATGTTGTGGCTCCTCTATTTGTGATGAATTGGTGCCTGAAATAGGTTTCACCAATAGAAACCTGTGCTACAGGTCACTAGGCCCAATCACAGATAGCATGACTTCCACGAATGGTATACCTTAATACCTTTGGACAGTTGAAATCTATACATTGTTGTTACAGTAGCATTGAATAGAGGAAGAAAAATAACAATAAACAAAAGAAAAAGATATTCTTAAGCTATACCTGTTAAAAGTGCTTCATTCATACTTTCAGAGATTGACTAACAGAATGCTTCTGAAAAGCTACCTATGGCTGCTGCTATGCTACGCCCAGAACGCTAGCAGCAACCTGGTCGAGGAATGCGAAGCGGTGTCTCGGCATCTGCTGGCGCCCCCGGACCGCCCCGGGGAGACCCTGCCGGTCGAGCTGGGCGTCGAAGAGACCTCGGGCTGCTACTGCCGCGCCACCACCAAGGTCGAGCTCATCGTGTGCTTCGGGAACTACGAGTGCAAGAGTTTTCCTCAGGTATCATACTTTGATCTATTCCTACTTCTTTACATAAAATGGAGCAAAGTCGGTCCCGCTTAGACCCTTTGATTAACAATACTTGATCGATGTTAATATCTTTATAGCTACGCAACGCACGTGGAATTTAATGCAGTTTTTAGCAATGCATAGTGATTCAATATTATGTTCCACCATCTACTATATAAAAATAAGTCGGGTTTTCCTTCCTGACGCTATAACTCCAGAACGCACGAACCGATTTCCACGGTTTTGCATTCGTTGGAAAGGTCTCGGGCTCCGTGAGGTTTATAGCAAAGAAAATTCAGGAAAAATTTCTTCTTTTAATCACCAAACGAAATGTTACATAAAACGAAGCCATCTGATGGCGAAACGGAGTTCGCCTGGTTTGCTAGTTTTTGTATATGAATGAAGGATTGAAGTGAAAAGTTGTTAATTCATTTAGTAAATACTATAAACAGACACATGTATTTCATATTTTGTATCTGTATCATAAACTAATATAATACTAATACTATCGTTTATCAGAACTCATATGTAGAAATTTCTAGAAAAACTCGGTATGGTCAGACCTCCATCCTCCATTCATTTCTGTAATATCGCACAATACCTAAAGCAATGTGCATTATATGTGGACTCTAGCAATTTATACTACTATGCTAATGCACAAGATAATAATTTCCTCCATTACACGGTTAACCTTACAAAAAAAATATCGAAGCTAATAATTCTCTCATTCAATTTTATTTTATTTGTATAAGGTGAGGTGAGAAATTATTGTGAGATGATGATTGATGATGATTTATACTGAACATTCGCGTAATTTCAAAATGAACAAAGACAGATTCTTGCTACATCATCTGTACAAATACAATATAGATTATATTAGATTACGTGCCTTTGTTATCTCTTAACTCTCATTCAATATATTACTATGAAAAATTTCCTTAAACATGCTTATATTCTTTTTTAATAACACTTTGATACTTATAACGAGGATCTTCTTATTTCAGATCAAATTAAAGAGTGAAATACTGAGGGTGAGAATGACAGTAATAGTCAAAATCTCAGAAGGACAGCTGGATACTCTTTATCATCTGAAAGTTTTGGAGATTGAAGCAAACCACAAGCTACAGCACTTAGAAGCTGGACTATTCAAGAACTTGACGAATTTGCGTCATCTATCCATATCATACAACACTCGCCTGCACACCGTTGGACCCAAAACATTCGATGGTTTAATTAATCTTCAGAACTTAACACTAGTCAATAATGGATTTACTAATATATTAGATTTAACAATTGCATTTAAGCCTAGCATTCTCCCTTTACTTAAATGGTTAGATCTCTCAGAAAATACTTTTGAAACCATCCCAGAGAAAGCATTTGAGCCCATGGAAGGTACTAAGTTGAAAAAACTTGACATCAACTTATGTAGATTAGATTTTGTACACCAAAACAGTTTTCTCCCATTGAAGCACATGAAAGAACTAAACATTGGGGAAAATGATCTGAACGCCTCTTTAATTGAACAGTTTTTGTTGAGAATGGTCGATGAGGGTATTAATCTGACTAGCATAGATCTATCAAGTATGGGGTTCCGAAGACAACCGCCAAGAGCACTACTTGATATTATTGCTCAAACATCGATTAAACGTCTAGAATTATCACATAATCAATTTGAAGTAATTTATGATGACACTTTTCCAAAAATGGTTAGCTTAGAAATACTTGACTTGAGAAAAGTACTAGCACTATCCATAGCAGCAAATGCCTTCGACCCATATAAGTTTCCAAATCTTAAAGTTTTATTATTAGGAGGGAATAATCTTCCGGGGGTACACAAAAAACATCTATCAGACCAACTACTACTCTTGGACATGTCCAATAATAAAGGCATGGCTCCGAATCCAATGTACTTTGAAATAGATAAAGATACATTTTTACAATGTAAAAAGTTAAAAATATTGGATTTGTCATTTAATAAAATTAAATCTTTGTATAACTATACTTTTACTGGTCTAAATAATTTGCAAATATTAAGTATTGAAAATGGTACGTTATATTACATAGGTCCAGGAACGTTCAAGCCACTGTATAATTTAGAAGTATTAAATCTAGCCAACAACCCTTTAAACGTAAATCAAAACCTAACTGGCACTCAATTTCAGGGATTAAATAAATTGAAAATTTTAACTCTGTCAAATTGTGGCATTAGATATTTTTATGAGGACGATAATATATTTGAGATGATGCCAAATTTAACACAATTAATACTAAACAACAACCAACTAAGTTATTTATCAGCTGAAATATTAAAACCACTGAAATTTTTGGAACTTCTGGACTTGAGTGAGAATTTGTTAGTGTCTTGGTGGAGACCGTTATTTCTGGCATCTGGAATCAAACCCTGGCGATCGTATTTTACAAACAATAAAATATCTCACTTTTCAATTAGTATGATTGAAGATATCAATTTTTTATTGGAAAATAGAGGAAACTCTACAATTACTATAAATTTTATGGACAACGTATTCTCATGTGATTGTGGTGCCATGTACAAAACATATTTATGGATGCAAGTGAATGGAACAAAGAACCTGAAACGTTACTTCGATCATTCTAAATTCCACTGTAGTGGTCCAGATCTCTGGGAGGGACGACTTGTCTCAGAGTACTTATCTACGATAAAAAATTTAAGATGCTTAGTTTACAAGAAGATTTCTAATGTTATGCTATTAATGTGGACTGCTCCGTCATTAGTCACTTTAATTATCGTAGTGATGCTAGTAATAATTATTATTAAATACAGGATTTACATAACATACTGGTTGTTTCTTGCAAAATTAGCTTTAGGAAGAAAATTAATCAAAAAATCTTTAAAAACGGAAAACGTGGTACCTAAGGGATACAAATTCGACGCATTTGTTTCTTATTGCAATGAAGACAGAGAATTTGTTACTGAAATGCTATCACAGCTGGAGACAACGCCGTATAATTTAAAGTTATGCGTCTATGAAAGAGATTTTGAGATAGGATCCTTTATTTCCGAATCGGTATTGACATGCATTAATGAAAGTAAATACATAATTTTAATTATTAGCAACAACTTTGCAAAATCGCAATGGTGCAGATGGGAGACCCAGTTGGCAGAATATCACAGGCTGTTTCTAGAAGATGGTTCGATATACGATCCACTAGTATTAGTGAAAATTGGTGATATAGAAAACAAATACCTAACGACGACGTTAAAATATTTATTGAAAACTAAGATTTATCACGCATGGAATGAAAATAATCCAGAAGAGTTTTGGAAAAAACTCAGATGTGTTTTAGTTAAGAGATAGAAAAAACTTTGACTGTTAATAATAAATGTTTTTTTTATCGAAATATTGGTTTTTATTTTAATATTCGTGTAACATGTGTTAGTTTAAACTTAATTGATTATAATTTTAACAATAAATATATATAAAAAAATATATAAATAAATATATATTTCTAGACGAGTCTTGTATTTATATAAGATAATATATATTAGAAATTTTCAAAAGCATAATAAAAAAGGATTGAACCAAAATGTGCTTTTAAGTTCAGAGGATAGTCGTTAACAAAAATAAAAAGATTCTGATAAAGTATCATATATAAAGCATACTGAAATTATGTAACAAGTATGATTTCACTAATAGGAAATTATATAATTTTGTTTTTAAAGACTGTTACGAACTTATTGATAATAAATTAATATGCTAATGAATCGCCATTACAAGGAAAGTTGCAATTTGAAAGTTTTTTTACAATAGCTTCCTTGAGAAAGTTAAATATTGGAATAAAAACGAAAGTGCATCCAAGATTATTTGTTCATCAGGTGTTGCCTGAGTCCAGTCGAGTTTCACCAAGACTTTCTACTCGATTTGCGCACTAAAAGGAAAACGATACGATACTGCCAGTTATTATGTCGGTCGGAAGTGATATGTACGAGATCATTTGCACACGTATCCTTTCTCAATCTGTATGGAAAAATTAAAACCGATACACTCAGTAACTACATAATAACTTCAACGAAATCATATTTTAATAGAACTCCACAGTTAAAAAACTAATTACTAGCCTTACCTAAGCCTTGCTTAAACTTATCAAAATAAAACTTCAGTTTAATCTAAAAAATTAAAATATATTTATCATTCGCGCTTCCCTTGGTGGCCTTTTACGGGAAATTGCTAGTGTAAGGGAACATCAGGTACAAACAAACGATTGATGAGGAATTAGAAACCCCAGATGAAACAAGCGACTAGACTCGTGTACCTATAGTTTTATTTAGTTCTACTAATCACCGAACACCACCGTCAGTTTCAAATTGGGAAAACTGGCTGACTAATAAATCGAAGCAACGAAGAAAAGCTGTGACAAAAAAGTTTTCGATCAGTGTCTGAGAAAATATTGTTGCTAACTTGTTTTAAACGGTTGTTATTTTATAAATCATTTGTAGAAGTGACGCCTTTTCAATATAGAGTGCAGGAATCGTGATTTATAATATCACAACCCGTTAACCATTTTCTTAGAGGACAAAACATAAGAAAGCACATGGATCAATTTAAAATTACTTGTAAAATAAATTTTAACTTCTTTTTTCGTCACTAATGGGCAAGGAATTGCTACTCTGTGGGTAAGTAAGTTATAAAGTATCTTTAGAAATTTGTTTATTGCGTTTAAAACTAAGCAATATTTTCCTTAAAATTTATAAAAGGCCCGTTAACTTTTGCTGATTTAATTTCCAATTCATTAATTTAATTACCTTGCAGGCCAAACAGCTACATCAGTTTGTTAACACTAGATTACCATTTATTTACAAATTATGTAGCACACTGGCAATATTTTATTAGAAATGCTACAACTCCACCGATGTGTTCGTATCGTTAAAGATAATAAAACAACCGGAATAGTTAACATTATTATAAATAAAGAAGACAGGAAGAATCTTAGAAGCTCACTGAACATCACAGATCTTTTTAACAGTTTGACACTAATTGAATGCACTCAATTAGCAGGCATAATTAACACTCGCCTTTCGATTTCCGAGTGGCAGGTCTGCAATGGGCGCTATTGTTTTGGCGCGAGAGAAAACGCCATCTTCATTCAAGATATCGTCGCGGGATAACGGTGCGGCTCACGCGCATATACCCCTCTCTGTCGAACGTATAGTAGACGAGGCGAGTGTGAGAAGGACGAGTGCAGACAGTGGCTGGCAAACGATTACTCGACTGACCTACTCAGTCGCTAACACTCTTTCTTGCCAGCAAGCGGAACCTAATTTTTATATCGTGTGAATTCGCAATGTGACTAGATGAGTTCGTTTATTATTAAATGGCGTAAAACACAAGTAGGCTATTATAAAATATGACACGCCAGCCTCGAGTGAAAGATTGAGAGATGCTGCAATAAATGTCTGATATCGTGAAAGAATGCAAGGATATTTTCATAAGTAATAATTTGACTTCATGCTTCAGATATTTCTTGCATTCTTGAAGTGCTCTGATAGCGAATTAAATTAGGTACTTGGGATTTAGAATTACCGGTTATTAAGACTCATGATTTTGAATGTCTTCTTGACATAAGATAGTAAAAACAAATATGGACCGAGGCTTTACAGTTTAGAAGGAAATCTATAAGAAACAGTTGACACTAATAGAATTATGAGAAATAAGTACGCAAACATACATCACGAGAAACTTGAAAGAAAAACTGCAAGCCACAAACCGCAACATTCAATAGATAGAGACATATAAGATGAGTATTTATCTTGTCGATGGATGCGGCGGCGGTGCGGCACCGTTAACCACGTGCATGTGGATGCAAGTGCAACTTTTCCCACTATGTTAAAAAGTGCATTTAGTGCAAATAAGTCCTTGGCATTGGTTTGGTGAACTCGGTCGGTAGTAGCTGGTCGGCCGTGGTGCGCAGCGGTCGCGACCACCATGCTCTGTCTCGCGCCCACAGTGAAAGTTACTTAGACGCTGAAATGCACGCGGTCGCCTTTCTGTTTGTGGTGAGTGTTGTGCCCTATGTGTGGATATGTCATGTGCCTTCGATCACGACGGTGGTGCAGCTACGGTGGTATACTTAGTTGTATAAGGCTTTGTTAACAAAGTAATTAATACTAAGTTAGGTATAAATCAAAGAATTTTCAAGCTAGTGATGTATTGTAGACAGTGTAAAATGCATAGGCAAAATCTAAAGACAAAGTTTATCGTCTTTCAAACTTTTAATTAGAAAAACGGTAGTCATGTAAACGAAAAGCCATAGCTTTCTCTGGGCCATTGTTTTAATAGCACATGTAAACAAGTGCACGACTATCGTTAAACATTTTCCAAGAGGCCAGGTTAACGAACTGACCATATAACTACCAAATGCGTAATACTCATAGAAATTCAATAACTTCTAATGGGTAAGACTATTAGTTAAGGGATAAAACTAAGAAGTTAAATATTTTTAATGTGAAGCAATGAGCTATGAAACATATTCCTTCTTAATTTGGATTTAGTACAAAGTGGAAAAAGAACAATGAGAATAATTAGATCATCACAATAGAAAACAACAATATTAAAAAAACAGTTTAGTTATCATCGCTTTAATATTATTATTTGGTTATTTACAAAGAAATATTGAAATTACAAAAGCTTAAACTACTTAATGTCTAAAAACGTAAAAATATAATTATCTTCAAAGTTACCAACTTAAATAAATACAAATTTACACAATAAAAAATATATCACCCCCAGTGTCGCCGTCAGGAATGGTGCCCAATAGGCTGGCAGCATTTCCTCGTTGGAAAGCAAGGTTGGTCCGTTGACCAAGGTAGTTGCCAGCTTTTTGATCACCAGTCATTTCGGTGAGCCTCTTTGACAATTCCTTAAAAAGGGAACGAGCGCTTGGTCCCCATGGGCCCATAGTCTCAACAACAAACGGCACAAATATGTAGCTCTCATTGAGAGCTGAATATTTGCGCCGCTTGGAGCACACAGCAGAAGCCGCCGCCGCGTCTGCAGCTAGGCTCGGCTACCTGTATGGCACGGAGCAAGCGTTTCCACGCAAGTAGCGTGCCATACAAGAGGACGAACCTGCTTCCAAGGAATGAGCCTCATTCTGTCAGGTCTCTGGCCATCGTCGCGGAAGATGCCTAGGATCTAGAACCGCTGGCAGATTGACAGCGGCAAGAGGCCTGCGGATGACGTCATTAATGCAGGAGTGGCGGGAGACTCGACCAGCGCTTATTTGGCATAAGAGTTCCGCAACATCAGCTTATGGGGATAATTGGTCTTGACGCCAAGTCTAAGTGAAATGAGAAGAGATAGAGTGCTCCAGTCAAACAAAGTCCCGATATTGGCTGAAGGAAGATCTTTATTTTTTTTGTAATTATAAAATATCGTGCAAATACAGATGATAAAATTTGTCCTCTTGATGACGCAATTGTGACAAAACATTTGAGAGTTGGTTTTCCCAATAACATGATGCAAAGATGTGTTAAATTATTTAAGATTATTTCGAGAACCTAATATCATAAAAACATTTAATATTAGCATATTTAAAACAAATCCGTAACAAAAAAATCATTTAAAATAATTATTTCGCTATAACTTCCAAACTGTAATCTCCTTATACTTTAACTTACTAGACAAATCCTTGAAAGTAGCACCTGTATCTATAGGCAAAACGAAATTCAAGAGCGCTTTCAACTGAGACTTTCGAATAGATACGCCAATTACTGATGCATCTGACGTCCCTTTAGAACAAATTACATCTAATCCTTCTTTTCTATGATCTGCCACAGATCAAGCCTAATTAATGAAAGGGTATACAAAATAACTTAAAGAATTCAGCAAAAAAGATTTAGACCCAATTGCACCCAAGCTCATAAAATCAAAATAACATTTGATCCTACTGCTCCAAAATTCTTAAATCAAATTTAAAAGCTAACAATGTTTAAGCTTTTATTGGAGTTAAGATTTTTTGGTGCAGTTGGTTCTTAATGTTGGAAATGAAGTAAATAAGTACTAGTAAAAGGACTTGTCAGTGTTCTAAATCATGGCATGGCACAGTGGCCATTGATTCCCTTGAGGAAACCAGGACGAGCGGTACAGAGCGAGACTCACCGGGCGCGGCGTGGGAAGCAGGTCGGCTTTAATTAGTTTTTACGCCGCCGTTGCTGCCCGCCGCTGGGCAGCGTGGCCCACATTCGAATGGCGAATTCAGAGTAAGTTCTCTACAGGTGCGTGACGTAACATGCATGATTTACAGATAAAGGTGATAAGAGCTAACTTACAGAAAAGTTTTATTAATGAAAAACAAAAAGTAAAGAAAACAATTATGTGATATCGAAGATGAAATAACTTAAATTCCCTCTAATTGAAATTATCAAAATTAATCATTTTAAAGATGAAGAGGAAAATTTAAGACTATTTTGACTATTAAGAAACTGTCTTAGATAAGAGATTTTAGACAACGAGTTTATAAAGATAAATTAAGTAAAGATTATATTTATACAAGTTTTAATTATAATCGCACGTGATCATAGCTAGATGTTTATTACGACAAAACAAAAACCACCAAATCCAGTTGCTTTATTCTTTCATTCCGACAATGCAATAACGTGTAAGGTAATAACGATATTTACGAGTTAGGTAACATCCGATATCAATTACCCGCATTCGCAGTCAAGTTCAACAAAACGAGTGTCAAAGCCAAAGTCACATTAATTGGATGACATAACGCGAGAGGCGCATTGACATCACTAGCCCGTAGCCCCGATCTGGTATTGGCGAAAGTCAGAGGCGATTTCTCCTCAGTGGCACCTCGTAACTTAAGTAATAACCCCATTTGTCGACTCAAGCTTTGATTTCGTGACCTCTTCGATTTTAACTAAGCAAATACTGCTTAGATTTCTGTGACTTTAGAATTAGATCTGATTAGTCATTAACGAAAACATGTGAATAACAAATGTAATTAAGACTTCCAATCACCATAAATATTCGCGTTCGCATTCATTAAAAGGAATTAATGTTTGTGAAGAGCACGCGCTAGGTTATATATATCCTCTTATTATATTATTTATTTTACTAGCAACCTCTATAGAAGTTATCTTACGTGATAAAAAAATTGCTATTAGAATTAAGAGTTGTAAAAAATTGCCACTGATAGGATACAGCATCAGGACTTCGTAGAGCAATTTAATGTTTTTCATCGTAAACTTCGTTGTGCCGTGTTCTAATCTCCGAAAATATACAATATAGTTTAGTTTTTCAAAGCGCTTTGGAAAGCGCTGACTTTAAAAAAGTGTGGACACTTAGTCTTAATTATTTGACCATTCCCGTTTACACCAGCCAGCCTAAGTTAGTCCAGAAGGAAAGCAACCTTGGCAGACTGCTGCAATCTTCCGGAACCGATTCTGGTAACTGTAGAAGTCGTGCCCGTTGGTCAGCGACAATCTTGCATTCTATTATGACATGCTGTGGCGCTTCTTCTGCCTCCATGCATCCTCTGCATAGGAGGCTGTCTGTTACTCCTATTGTATATAAGTGTTTGTTTAGGGGACAATGACCAGTCAGGGTTCCTGTAATCATGCGGAGTTTGTCCCTATTTAGTCTGGTAAGGGTGCGGGCAAGTATCTTGTTTAATATGCAAGTTAGAGTAGAGTTTACGACGATGATGATTACGATGCATGAGTACAAACATTAGGATAATTCTGGATTAATGAATGGAGGCTAATCCGTTTCCTCTAACTAGAATCTGATAAAAGTTTTAATATTAATCACGTGCTATCATACCTTTTATGATGTTACATAAAATTATAAACGTTCATTTGATTTGAAGATAGCTAAAGGATATAAAGAAAGGTCACATAAAAATATACGCTTATCTTATTTACCCTAGGCAATACATTTGATGGTTACGGCCATGTGCGAAATAATGCGTATCATCATCATCAGCCTATTAATGTTCCCACTGCTGGGGCACAGGCCTACCCTATGGATGGAATAATGCGTATATACTTACCAAATTTTGGACAAATTCTAAATCCATGCTTAGAGGAAGAACCTGTTTGGCAAGTCTTCGCAGACGTGTTTGTTAATAATTTGAAAATTATCAGGTAGATAGTAACTAAAATTGTTGTTTATTCTTAAATTTCTGAATACACAAATACCTTATTAATATGTTGCGATCGCAAAGTTCTCTAGTAAGAGTTCCGTGGGAATATGGATCGCGTTTAGTCGGAGCTATTGCGATTCAATGCACCACTTCGCTTCTTGGATTTATAGAGTTCAAGAGAATAGATACAGAGACAATACACTTGGCACCGCCCGTAATAAATTGACTTTAAAAAATGGGTGTCTTCGTTGTTTTCAAATGTGATTTTACTATATTTTCCATCCATGTTATGTTGATACGAGCATTGTACGTATTACAAATATATTGCTTAGGAGAAGTCTTTTTTGTTGTTGTGTTCTTAGAGTAACTCATCCAAAGCTTTTGATTGCGTTGAGCATCAGACACTGTTGATGAAGTTGAGTAACTATAGAATCAAAGGCATAGCACAAAAATTTGCTGTTTTCGTATCTCTAATCCAAATTTCAGACAGTAGAGGTAAATGACAACGAAGAAATCGACCCCAGCATGCACAAACGAAAGTCCTTCACTATTATTTTTCTATTATTTTTTTACTTTATTAGCAATTAATCATAGTAAACGGACATTCTGTAAAAATTAGAAAATAAAAGTTCTGTAATTAAGTACTAGACAATTTGCTATTATGTCATCTTTAGCCTTAAGACTGTCTCATCTAAGTTCAAAAGCTTTCGCCAATAAGGTGCAAAAAATGATTTCAAATAAGTAGATCTTTTTTATTTCATTTCTTTTCCATTTTGAATAGATAGCCTTCATTAATTCAACATACGCGACCGTACTACGGTCTTTTTATACATATATAGGTACTATTCTTATGTTGATAAATACCTACGGTTACCGACACTGCAATTTTGTTTTGTAATTGTT